TTTTCTCTAATCCAATACGTCGCGGGCTTGTTCACATTCCGATTCCCCAGTATTTTAGAAAGCGAGGCGTGACAGGTTTTTTTGGTGGCCCATGCAGATCACGGTCCCGAGTTTCCACTAGTGAGAAAATAATGGATAATTTAAACGCATATCATATTTCATCCGTGAAACTATTCTTAAGTTCTTATCTTATTTTCTTGATAGATTTCGTTTCGTCCATATCTTATCACTCTTTGACTCCGAGGCTTCCCACTGTTCTTGTTTCGTCGCTTCGTGACTACACGCTCTCTTCTTATAATTCATCTTTCCTCGTATCGGTCGTTATTATATGTGTTATTATTTTTACGACTGTGTTTTCTTTGGTTTGACTTATATATATGGTTTAATTGTATTGATTTCTGTATTATTTATTATATTATTTTATGTATCACACACAATGTTATATTGTATACTTTTATTATCAAAAAAATATATCATTACTTATATATTTTCAATTGTTCAAATCATATCATTAAGTGTTTTGCATTGCTCTAGACCCCACATATACATTACATAGCCTATCTGATATTCAAATTATTTTCTTGTATTTAAAATATATTTTTGCATATCTAAATTGTGTATGTGTGCATTTTTTCTGTCATACCATCTATTATTTACTTATGTTTTAGATTATTGTATATTGTTCGTATTTTTAGTGATTTTCTGTCATACCATCTATTATTTACTTATGTTTTAGATTATTGTATATTGTTCGTATTTTTAGTGATATACATTAATAATACTTATGTTTTAGATTATTGTATATTGTTCGTATTTTTAGTGATATACATTAATAAGTTCATGATTTTAGTATTCTACATATACATTACATTCTTACTTTTTATTTATTCAACTCACAATATTTTCGGTACGTAGTTTTCTTATCAGTCAGTTTTGTCTTGTTTAGGTTGTTTCTAACATACAAGCACTTGAACTTCACTTCTAACTCATTAGACTTAATATTAACTTCACTTCCAACTCATTAGACTTAATATTCTATCTTGGCCTTGAATTTAACATCAAAAATTATCAAAAAAATTCACATTTAGCCGATATTTCTTTAAATTTTCATCTTTTCACGATGTTCAAACAGAAATTATAAATTTCATTAGACTTAACATATGAGCTCTTCGTTGTCCTCCTCCAACACCATCTCCCCCGCCTCGTACTTCACCACCTCTTTGCCTTTAGTGTCAGAGACTGATCTGTTGTTTGACGGATCATCTGACGAGAACTTTGACAAATTCAAGGGTTTCGTTATTGCCATTGCCATTGCCGACCAAATTTGGGCTTGTTTTAGTTTTGGGGGGAAAAGAAAGTTTGAGTGGGGGAAATTAGTGAGAGAAAAAATGAATAATATTGAGTTTTGTTCCCAATAATATACTCCCAAAGTAATATACTCCCAAATCAACAATATGGCCGGAGCGTGCACCTAAATTCGATGGTGGTGGAGGGGCATATCGATGTGTCTGAGAGAAAAAGGAGGAAGAGGGAGAGAGAGAGGAAAGAGATTAGTTAGGAGAGAGGAGAAAGGAGGAGCAATGACTATTAGATTTAGAGAGAAAAGAATAGAGGAGATAAGGGCATTTTATTTTTTTTCTCTCTCTCTAAGCTTAGTTGACAAAGAATGATTGCTAAAGAAGTGTTGAATCAAATAGATTTGTAATTTGGGGCTGAATCAAATAAAATAAATCCACCATAAACCACATAGATCTGTAATTTTATACATAGACTAGTAGAAATGCACGTGCAATGCACGTGGTTGAATATCATGATTATTTAAATTGATAAAAATAGAATAAAAACAAAATAGAAAATAAAGTTTTTTGCGAGATTAATCATCAACTCAATAATCTCCTTTTCAAATGAAATATTGTCATTGTTTCCTTCAACCCAGAGTGTCGCCACGTGACCTACTATTTGTGAATTCTAAACACATTGATCTAGCACAACATCTCTGTTTATTAGTATCTTAAAGTATTCAAAAGATGAATGATCATTCAATTCGTAAAGAAATTTTGTATATGAATTTACTTACAATATGTCCATCAAACTTTTAGTTGTGGTTTGATTCATATTCATATTAATTTTTAGTTGTAGTTTTACTCATATTTATATTATCTAATATTCTCATTCAATTTTATAACTCATTCTCCGCACCATAGAAGTAAAATTGAAAGTACGAAGGATTATTTTCTTGTAAAATTAGAGCAAGGAAATTATGATATATTTCGTCATGTACTCTAAATTTTTTTTTTTCTTTGATGCAATGTCTCTATCAAATCTTGCCACAAACAATGTGAATAAAAAATGCTATTATAACTCACTTGCCTGGGGCAATTGTGGGCAATTGTATTGTATGTATGACATATACAATACTCTCGTGTATTTTCTCGTTCTGACTGCAAAATAAGCAAGAGTGGTAGTCCCGTATATTTTTTGACTTTAATTACTTTTATAATTAATGTTCGCTAATTACACGAGACTATTAGTCCCGTGTATTTTAAAGATGGTTTTTTGCAAAACCGACCTCTTTTTTGCCAATCTTGATGATGTGACAAAAAAATGATGTTAATTTTGTTAATTATTATGTACAACAGTCGGTTTTGCTAATATTTTTAAAAAGTGATCTTTTAATAATTCTCCTAAAATAAACTATTTAATCCAAATATGAAATTGGCGAAAAGACCTAAACATTCTTGGGATTAATTGACCCATAAATAGGGAAACATAATAATTGAAATAAATGTATATTTAAATTGAATCTAACAAGGCACTTCATTGAATGAAGCATGAAATGGATCCAAGAAATTATTAAAAAAGAATTAAATAAACTAATTTAAAAAACATGAGATCGAGGGATAGAGGGAGAGAAGAACTCACCGACATGAATTCTATTTCTATCCGAACGTGATAGCGAAATATCGAGGGATAGAGGGAGAGAAGAACTCACCGACATGAATTCTATTTCTATCCGAACGTGATAGCGAAATTGGTGGAGAATGAGCGAGGAGAAAAGTCACCGACATGAATTCTATTTCTATCCGAACGTGATAGCGAAATTGGTGGAGAATGAGCGAGGAGAAAAGTAAACAGAATAGGTGACAAAGTTGCCGTGATTATATAATTAGGTTATTAAGATATTCATCCTAAAATCTTAAATACATACATATTAGTCCGTAACATCTTTGTAATTGCTCATTTACAACGATATTACTATTCAGTATTAAATCAATTTTATTATATAAGATTATATGACCCTTTTTAATAAATTATAAAGTATATATATAAAAACCTCAATGCATATAGGCAGTAGGTGTGCTCCACAAAATAGGTAACTTTAGATTGTAGTTTGCTATTAGTAATACTGTTGGCAATGCCATTACCTTTTATCTTTATATTATTATTCACACTTTTCTGATATAAGTCCTTTTTTGCTAATCACTCAATTGGCTATATTTAGTTTTTATAATATCAGAGGTTAGAATATTCTCTTCTGTTTAAAAAGTGTTGACATGATTTTCTTAAAAAATATATACACATAGTAGCAATAATATATACTTCAGTTCTTTAAAAAGTGTTGACATGATTTTCTTAAAAAATATATACACATAGTAGCAATAATATATACTTCAGTTTAACTTAAACATTGGTTTGAAGCCATTTAGAGCGAGGTCCTTTCTACGCTAGAATAGTGATATAGTGATTACACAATCTAAAAGTTAAAGAAGAAATTTCTACAAAAGAAAAGTAATTTAATATGTCAAATTAACAACTAATTTATAAAATATACATGGACAGTGCAGATAGCTATAGAAAGTAATGTATATATCTTCATGAAAATTTCATAGTGAGTGACCAACTACAATCATCCTAATTTAAGCATAAATAATTATTATTTTAGTTACTAATTTGATACGTGAAACTATGGAATAAATCTCAAGCATAAAATAGAAATTAAGATTATATTATCCTGTAGGTAAATAAATAAATGTTATTAGAACTCCTTTTTATATTAAATTTAAAAGTAACTATTTAAATTATTAAACGTCAAATATTAGTTCATGCGAGAAAGTAAAGTAATCTATGGTCTCTATACCTATATAGTCAATCAATCAAGCGTATTAAAATTTGTAAAAAGTTTAAAGTGTTTATTGTAAATTCCATAGTTTTTGGGGGTTTATTTGTGTTATTTGTAGGTTTTTAGTGTGTTTATAGGTTTGAAATTATTAAGGTGTTTTTTACAAATTTTAAATTTTAGGGGTGTTTTTTGCATTTTTCAAAACTTACAAGATACTTTCTCCAAAGCTAAAAACTTTCAGTTTTTAGCCGGCATATGTTTTTCAGATTTCTCACTGAATTGAAATAAGTAAAATTTATATTTTTTAAGATGTTTTAATAACATTTTGAATTTGTAGAAGTGTTTTTGCAATTTCAAAAAATTTGAAGAATATTTTTTACAAAGTCCAAAAACTTTTAGGTGATGGCTAGCATATGTTTTTTAGATTTATCTGCGAACTGAAATAAGTAAATGATTTGAATTATATCAAACATATCTCCTTTATCCAATAACATGCTAAGTCTCACTATGAATATGATAAATTATTTAATTATCAATTCAAAAAAGATAAAATAATTAGAATAGATTAGAACAACAATGTAATACTAAAAAAAGTTAAAAGCGGGATAATATTAACCATAAAAAGATTTTCCCAAACTCGTACTTTTAAAAGGAGTACGATCATTTCTTGCTTGCAATATTAGGATTCTTTTTGAATTCAAAAGAGGTTCCTCATCCTCAGGCAAAACAGCAGAAACCAGATCATCAAGCTGAACTGTTAGACAGCAATTTAAAGATGTGAGAGCTCGAACGCAACACAACCTACAGCTTGAAGCTCTGATGGGGGGAAAAAGAAAGAAAGAAAGAAGGAAATAAAAAGCTTACAGGCACCATCTACAGCTTTATAATGTTGACAAGAATATCGTGCTTAAAATATAATTAATACACAATGAGATTGCCCTTCCGTTCATAAAAATACGCAGCAACATGTGAAAATATCTTAAACAAAGTAAATCATACACAATGAAGTTGCTTCTGTTCGAACAAATATGCAACAACCTGTTCCTGCACTACTACTACACCACAACTAGGGAAAAAGAACAAAAAAAAAAAAAAAAAAAAAAAACATAGAAAAAAAACAAAAAAAAAAAAAAAAAAGATAAACATATCCAACATCACAAACATGGTCTCAAAGCTGCAGTATACCTCCAGTACGCGAAAAAGAAGAAAAAGGATCCACCATTGTGCTATACCACATCTACAAGGTAATTTCCACATAAATCAAGAAAACTTATATAACATTGGCAAAAACAGACAACCGATATGTAAGAAGATATCTCCTGCCTGTTGCACTAACAGATAAAGACTTTCTCACTGACCAGCAACACTGGAGCCGAGATATACGATGCCTGTATTACATTGCTGCCCTCATGGCACCTCGGGCAGCTTCCCGCTTCATCTCTGCAGCTTTCCCGCTCCCTCGGAAATACATGTATACTTGCTGCAATCGGAATGGTGTTATAAATATATTTTTGATGACGAAGATGCTAAATATAGTATAGCTAATCAATTTCAAGATAGACCTAACAATAGGTGCATTCTGCTGTTATAGTTATACAGACATATCCAAAGGGGTATGTTTCTAAATGACGTTTGAGGGAACTAAGAAAAATAAGCTAAAGCTAAAACGAATTACATACTGATAAAATAGAACAAAAAAATCATCACTGCAAATATTACCTGAATGACCCAAATGCTGAGAAGAGCTTCGATGCAGAAGAATCCAAAGCCGATGAAGTAGAAGATCTGCAGAATAAAAAAAAAATGATTCACTGTGAAAAGTGAAAAGAGAGGGAAGCAGCAGTGTTGCTTAGGTTCTAGGGCGTTAACGCTAAAAAGTGCTAAGACAATTTTAAAACAAATATAAAAAGGTAAAATAACAAAAACAAAAGATACTAGAAAAAATGAAAATTGATAAAATCTAAAATAAAAAGAGAACCTCTTATGGTTTAAATTTCTAGACAACAATAAATAATGCATTGGGAGCATCTCAAAGACAAATATAATAAATAATTAAGAAATAACCTTTTGAAGGTTAGCGACAACTTATGTAACCGTAAGATCGTTCCTAATCAACATAGTCATCAATTATCAACTGTTACCGTAAGATCGTTCCTAATCAACATAGTCATCAATTATCAACGAGATCGCAGGAGGAAATAGATAGGAGAGTTCCTAATCAACACAAGTGTCAACTATCAACGAGATCGTGAAGGAAATAGAAAGGAGAATACATCTTTGTGAAAAAAAAGTTTGGTCAGTTGAATTGCACAACTTAGTACATGAATGATACAATCTGGACATCTGATGCTACTTTAGCACACTGGAGAGTGGGTCGAAGTACGGCTTTTAAGTTTTTAAAGTGTGTTTGGGCGTTCTTTCTATAGCTCTACGCTAAGCAAACGGCCACCGATTTTTTCAGCCAATTAGTGGCACTTTGAGGGGCTTTTGGTTTTTCTACTTTTTTATCATATAACAATGATGACTGATTACATTAGCAGTGACATTGACACTCAACTCAGGACATAATTCTAGTTATCTTTTAAAATGAAATACTGTAGAAGTTTAATGTCAAGCATCCAACATGAGACAGATAAGCTCACAAATTATAAATTCTGTCTAAATCAGTTCCTCCTTTTGTGTCTCAGTTCCCATCATCAGAGTCAATTGCACACATATGTACCATACAATAGACCGTTACAATAAAATAACAATCATATAGCAATGTTCGTCTAAAGAATGAAAACTTGGATTCAAGAATATGGAGCACTTAGAATTTCTGCTTGGATTTTAGACTTAAATAATCTAATGCACCTATCAAGTGGCTATTCTAACCACACGCTGCCAGGCATGTTGGAGGTAGTACCAAAGCTGAGTTTAGTCTCCAACATGATCTGTATATGCCCTCCTCTCACTCGAAATGACACCCATGATATCTCGAAACTCTTGTAATTTGAGGATCTACCTTCTTTCCCAATCTGCCCTACTCAGGTAAATTGCAGAAAAAATGAATTGCTAATATAATGCACTAATTTGTCTGAGGATCTCATCTAGCCAGTGAATATAATACTGCACTATATTCATGCTACTATAACATGGATGGAAGCAGCCCATACTTCCCCTTCCGCAACACCAAACCCAACCATATTTTGTAAATAATGTTCAATACATAGAATAACCAACAAGGGCAAGAATCTATTTCATGTTATGTATTATGAAAACAAAAATCATCTTTCTCACACTTCAGACGGCCACATGCTGTTACCTGATAAAAACATATGGCATGCAACAACAATGAAAAATATTGGAAAATTATAGAGCATTATTAGCAAGATACCAACATTAGATACCAGCATTCCTTTACCACGTACTTTAACGTTGTCTACTCATACTACTTTTTCAGAGGCACATAGATAGTAGATAGTTCTGAGCTAGATTTGGAATAATTTGACTCACCCCAATAATGACATGATCACCAATGACATCTATGGCTGGCAAAATACCCCTGCAGCACAGAATCATGGAAAGAAGGAAACATTAGCATGCAATGACTAATATAGGTATCATGTGCATAATCTATTGTGGCACTTCTGTGATAGATCTGCTCTGCCAAATGAATACTGCTGTACTTTCCCTCTAAATGAGTTAGTTTAGGCTGTAAGTTTGGACCACGAAAAATAGAAAAGTTCTGTAACAATTAAATCAAAGTTTTTTTTTTTGGCTAATTAGGGTGGCTACTGGCCCACCCAATCCCTTGCACATATGCTATCTTCCTCCACAATATACTGGTCAATTATCAACCAGAAAAAAACCCTCTGGGACCCTCATTTGGGATGTGTTTAGAATCCAACAAAAGGCCAGTTACTTGGAAGACTAATGCAAATATATATTGAGAATCCGAGATATTGGAGTCTCACCATTACTTGCTTGAGTTCAAATTAGTCCATCACTGCTACATAGCTAGAGGATAAAGAAATGTAAAGAATTATACATAATAAGGAGAAAATTATGCTCCAACAGCATGAAAAGTTATGATATGGCAAAAACGTACAAGGGCCATACAGTCGCCCTACTAGAGGACATACCACTTGCAAATCAAGAGCACTGCATGATAGTTTGTGTATAAACAAAACATGCTTGCAGTATGCCTATTGAAAGACGTCATGTATATGTATGCATTTGTGTCATATGACCATTCCGCTGGGTGGTTTCAGATAATCATTGCAGAAGTGTTGAAGGATAAATAGAAGGCTATAAAGTATACATCTGCTCATGAGAATCATTCTAGTAAAGATTCATGTCATTGTTACAAGGTTCACTATCCCTCAACTCAAACAACAAATAATAGAAGGGAGGTTGCATCTGTAAACCATACACTTTAATTTGAAAGAAACACCTTTACCCTTCCTTCAAAGTAAAAAAGTTTAAGTATTTTCAAAAAAGAAGTATAATGTTAGAAGAAACTTACGTCAAGGATTTCCCCTTGAAAAATATTGGAGGAGCCACTGCTGCGAAGATGACAAAGACAATGTGAAGCTGCAAAAGAGATAAAAATGACACATTAAAATTGACCTTAAGCGAAGAAGCCAAAACATTTTGTAATATCAGAGCTTCAAAATTTTTACCATATAAAACAGAAAAAACCATCCAAACTTCAAAGCACTTTCCGTCCTAAACATAGTGTTGCAAATGCATGTCAATTAATAACCTCAAATTCTAGTTGCTGAACTGGTCCAAATACATGAAATAATGACTCAAAAAAGTGTATATTCTGTGAATAATACCTCATGGCTCGATAAAGAGGTCTATACCACAAAACATAAGCCCCAGGAACACCCGAGATAAAATAGATAATTGCAAGAAACCAGATCTTCACACCTAAATAAAAAACCAACATTCTTTAGTAGGAAGATGATCATTAAGGCTAACCAGCAGCTAAATCACAGCTCAACGTACAGAGAGTAACCAAAAAACACACCTTCTCCTTTGATCCAAGCTGCAGTAACTGATATGATATTCCAAAATAGGCACAAAAATAACCCTGTGAAACAACCAAATGCTTTTAGAATTGAGCATGCTTTGATCAGTCTTCCACAAAATATGATGTCCAGACCAAAATAAATTAATTAATAATAATAATAATAATAATAATAGTAAAAAATAAATAACAGAAAGAAGAGGTGGACCAGTAGTGATTTACAAGTGAGTCGGTAGGAAAAAGAAAATCCAAACTACACCTTTCAACAAGTTCTGTATACCCAGAACAACCAAAGCACTACTCTAAAATATCCCCAATATAGCCAGTATATCCGGCTGTTACAACGCTTGCCGCAAAACGATATGATCTCAATATCCTTTACCACTTATTGGCAATTTTTGGGAGATACATCCCCGACATGGCCAATATGTTAGCCGATATGTAGACCAATATGTCCTTTTATATAGCGTATCGCTAAATAACAAAGTTCTATAAAATATCTTTAACGTTTTTTTAGCAAAATCCAGCCCTATGATGTTTCCTAGCAAGGTCTATCATGATCTTTTCCCTAAGTTTCTATAATTAGTTAATGATCCCAAACATCTATTACTTACATATTTGTATGCTTAGATTCAAGGTCACAGAAAGCTTAGGCAGGCTAGGCGGAGGCTTTTTAAAATATTGCTTAGATTTAATTAAATATATTTGGATTCCATCTAGTGATATTGTATTATATATCATTCGATACAGCGCTTCAATATTTACTACATAGCCGCGATATTTTCTTGATATTCGCATTCCGATATGGATTTTGGCCATCCGATATTTCCTTGGTATTCTATGTTGCAAGGACAAGGGTGCAGACACGGGCGGACACAGATAAGGGTGCGGGTACAAGACACGACAAAATTGCAAATTTTTGGATATAAAGACAATATGATATACATATTAAACTTAATAATCTATAAGAGAGTGATATTGTTTTTTATTCACATGTTACGAGAACTAAAATCCTTATACCTTTCAAATTTCTTTTATTGAGTAGATTATAAATTGAAAAACAGCTCGTTTTTTAACTAGAAACTCAGACAACCCTTTAAAATCATACTTATGAACTAGGCATGTGCTAAAATGAACTTGTCCTGAGTCTAATGAGTTGCATACTTTTGAGATTAAGTGTACGATAATATGTTCAAGAAAGTGTATCACGAGTTTTTATTTTTAAACTAAAACATGTGTTATATATCGAGTACACATCTCAATAATGTATATATGTATTCAAGAAGTGTCCAAGGAGTGTCCGACACGAACACGGGAAGTGTCGGACACAGATAGGACAACCTAGATGAAGCGTCCAGGTAACCTAAGCCAATATTTAAAACCTTGAATCCAAGAAATGTAAATTCTAGGTACTGATTAACTAAAAATCAAACTCCTCAAATAGAAAGCATTTATCTATTGACTATCTCCCCCAAGTGGTACTAACTTTAAAACTCCGAAAATATAGAACAAAAAAAAAAAATCAGAAGGGAAATCTTGGTAGCCTGCATAACCAAGAGTAAAAGGTAAATTTTGAAATTTAATACTAAACAACTGCAAGGAATTCAACTCGAAAATTTAAACATTGTGGTACCTATCCAAGAACAAGGAAAAAATTAGACATACAAAGATAATCATTAAACTAAAAAGTTTGTGCTACTGACGTACAAAATGGTATGGGACAAGAACTAGAAAAGGAACTTTGATAAGTCAATTTATCAGTTTATGCTTCAAAAGCACAAAGGGATGACATAACACTAAATGAATCCTAACCAGATAAAACAATGCTAAAATAAACAATAACAAGATTATATAAATCCGGGAATAAAGTTCAATCAAATGTGATATCTGAAATTTAGTAATGAAAGAGAAGATTATTATCGTGGTATTAAAGAATTCTAATGTCACATAAACATTGCTAGTTTGAGCTATCAATTCAGTAAACCTTTGAGCTACAGTTAAAATTGGACTATAAAAGCCTAACAAAAAGCAGAATTGCTTAATAAAACAAAGGAAAAATGTATTGCTGTTCAGTGAAAAAGAAAAATCTTTCAAGTTAGCAGTAAGCATACCTAACAACGACGCAAATGCAAAATACTGCAACCTTTGAAGGTGGATTGGAATTTCATTTGCAATATCATGATGAATAATGGGGAAAAATGGTGGCCAATTTTTCTCCTCTATAACGATTCCAGCTGCAAAAGCACATGAAGTAAATTCTCTTTCAGGTAGCTGAGAAAGGAATCTACTTAAGCTTCTGAAAATGAAATATGATTGATTGTAGCAGAATCAAGATAATGGATTGCTAATCTGTTTGAACTGATAAGTTAGAAATGAAAACATACCACGAGATGCAGCTTCTTCTCTTCGTTTTAGTTCCTATATGATAGTAATAAAAAATTCAGTGGTAAGCAGTAAACTAGTAACAAAGTTTTCCCAGTGAAAATGGATGAAAGCTCAACTTTATGCAGAAATGAACTCAATAAGCACAAAATTATGTTTCTTTTAAATTAAAGAAAAACACCTTTAAGTGACCTCTACAGGTAGAAAAACAAATTATGATACACAACTAGATCACTTCACAGTAATCCTTCAAATTGAATAGAGAAAAGAAAGAAAATGCACATTCCATATTCATCAGCATCATGCAAACATTTTCCCATCAAACGGGCTCACTAATACAACATGACTGAAGACAGAGAAAGCTGCACAAAAAGAATTGCCAACAACATACAATGAGAAGTCTGTACAAGGAGGGTACTGTAGTATATAGGAAAGTGATTCATATTTGAGGCACAAATATAGCCAAAGAGCCTACCAGATCACATAAAAAATGCTCTTTTTTCTATTGCAAACAGAATTGAATTAATGACACATGCATTCCATTAGTATTTAGCATAAATGGAGACAATAAATATCATGTGAAGTTTTTACCAGTATGAGTCAGATTATGTAAATCACACCTAATGTATTATACAATTCAATTATATAATTTACATTGCTAAATAAACTGAATTACAGTACATGTGCAACTCCACTAGCATTTAACATGAATAGGAAGGGGAAAAAACAATTAGTAACTGAAGCATTTCAGTCAGCTTGTGTACATATCCCCAGAGATACTATAGGAAACTGAAAATATAACCAATATCTAACTATTATTTTCAAAGTTAGTAGATGAAACACAATATCATGGTACATTTTTTAGAGGGGAAAACATGATCGTGTGAAGTTGCACACGGCTAGAATTAGGCATGATCGATGCTAGGTTGCATCAATAGAGTATCACAGAAGTATAATAGGATTAATTGATCATCTATGGAAGATATCATGTTCAATAGTTAGGAATTACTACATATAACATTTGATGTCGCAATAGGGATGAAGATTCATGCAAGATAACTATGTACCAAAACTATGTACATAATAAGTTACCACCTTTGCAACACTAACATTTAGTGCAGCAATCAGGGCTGGAGATCCATTTGGGATGACTATTTATCAAACAATGTATATAATTGGCAATGAGAATTAACTGTACCTTTTCTCTCTTGTTTAATTCTGCCTCCTTTGCTTGGAGTTCCTTTTCCTTTTTCTTTATATCCTACGTAAAATATAGAAAAAAATTCAAGATTTCATAGAGGATTACCCATCTACAAGAAAGAAACAAGATAGATGTTTAAGAACCAATATAATTAATTGAACATTATTATCAATCAAATATTGTCCAACTATGACTCTCAACATCAAGGAACTACCTCTATCCATATCAATTTGATTGATTAACAATTTAATATAGTTAACCTACCCTTGATGAATCAAGAGGAATATCTATTGTCGCTCCCCGATCATTGTAAAAGTCAGCAGGTTCAGGAGGAAGAGGTGATAGCCTTGAATTTGAAGCAGGAGGAACACTGCCAGGGTTCTGTTAATGCACAAATAGTAAGAACTTATCAAAAGGAAGATAGCACTAAATAAGCAATTTGGCAACAACTTAGCCAAGTGCACTGCACCAGTTAATACCAGAACTCTAACATTGTGGAATAGCTTAAAAGAACATTTACAGTGCTCATAAACAAAGAAAATAAGAATTCAATAGTTTCAAGCAGGTCCATGAAAAATTTCCAAAAAAATTATTCATTACTACTGAAATTTCCCTGAAGATCTTAGCAAAGCTCAGGGAACCAAAAAACATGATTCCTTCTAATTTAAAAGTCTAATACGTTGTTGGATGCTTTACACGCTAGCAAAGCTTCCATGGCGAACATTGAAATCCGCCATGTAATCATACTTACAGAGAAGTTACCGAATGAAAGGAAATAATTAGAAGTATTAGTTCGGTTGGGGGGGGTGGAGAAAAGTTACTTTACTATATCAGAACCCTAAGTTTCAAGCATATCAAGTGCCAAATCCAAAAGGCTTAGCTGTATGTGTAGAATGCACCTCCACCGTAACTTGCTTGCCCACCAGCTTGTTTCCGACGAGCTGGCTCTGATTGGCACTGAGACTGTAAATACAAATGGGATTAAGTTTTCTGGACGGGCATCCACCTTGAAATCTAATCAAACTAAAACAGATGCTAAACTTTATAACATGAAAGGGAACAATACCACATAGGGAAGGAGCTCACAGAAGTCAGAAAACATAGGTTTGGCGAAGATTAATTTTATAAAAGTGAAGGACCATAATTGTCAATAAGATGTTTGCTAAGGTGTTAGCTTCTTTTCAACGGTGAAATTTGACCTGTCTTAAATCTCTCGGAAACTCAGAACGCAAATGGATGTTTGACTTGGTCAATATGCAACACCGCATCATCTTTCGTAGTACACCGCCGCCAATTCGAAGCTGTGCTCAAATGGAACCCGAAATCAATTCATTCATTCAGGAAGCAGAACGTCGGATCTAAATTTTATTGGTGTAATACGTCCACACCCAACGCCACGTATGTTGCGTCATTTCCAACAAAAAAATCAAAAAAATCAAAGGGAAGTGCGCTGAAGAAACAGCAACAGCCTTGCAGAGCACCACGTGTTATACCCATGCTGCCGGTTTTCTTCTCAAACGATTAAGCTACAAACTCTACAGAAGGAAGACTTCTTACTTTTTTCTTTTCTTTTTTTTTTCCTCCCCTTCTTTCCTCGTTCAAAGAAGAGAGCTGAGGACAGAGTAGATAACCGCAGTATTTTCCTCGCCTTTCTTAATCCTTTTTTTTTTTAATCCCTTTTTAAAGCTCCTCGATCTAAACTATTTGATTAGTAAATAAGTAATAAAATAATTAATGAGGGTTAGTAGGAAAAGTAAAAAAATTTAGTTTTCTAACCAGTTACCCACGGATGCTCGCTAGGACAAAAGATGAAAGAAAAAACGAATTCATGTCTTTGTCAATGTTGAGAACGCGGATTGATGAGCTAACCAAGTTGTAAATCTTGAAGGATGATTCGTACAACGCTAGTATAGGTGGTTAAAAAGTCGTATTCATGTCTTTTTTTTAATAGTTAGTTTTTTTTTAAGCCTAATGTTGTATTTTCTTTTGGTGAACGTTTACTTTTCAAAGGGTTCACGTGTCCAATCTAGTCGATCATTTTATTTTACAAGGGAATGCGTGAATGCTATTTGGAAGATGAATACATCTCATACTTCCTCCATGTATGCTGCGTGCTTTAACCGTTATTTTTTTGAGCATAAATATAAATTACCTCAACAGGGATTTTAAATCCATGTCTTTCCCCTGGGGGTGAGCATTAATCGGTCCAAACCGATTAAGCTGATCGAACCGACTGAATTTGAATTTGAATTTTAATAGTTGGGTTTTGTTTTTAGAATATGCGTCGATCGGTTCGGTTTGAGAAAATTTAAATCTAAACTAACCAAACCAACGGCTATTTTAATTCTTGAAACCGTACTCTTTCTTTCTTTTCATTAGTCGACTAATTTCATTCTTTTCTCCTTAAAATGCTCATTATTTCAATTAATTTGCATCATGTTGTTAACGATATCTTAATACATATTTTTTTGTACCAATTTCGTAACATATGTCTTTCTTTTGGATCAAAATAGCTTTTTTGTTAACTAGTATAGTGCACGTGCGTTGCACGTAATTATTTTGTTCATGTTCTCAATATGTTTCATGGATAGAAAATGACGAAATTATATAATGCAAAAAATAAAGATCTAAAGTAAAAAATTAGGAAGAAATTTTGGTCATTCTAGAGTAAAATCATGCATACTAAGATAAAGATTAGCATAACTATTTTTATCGTTAGTTGTTATATTTCTCAACCTATCTAATCAAGGGCACAATATAGTATAAACATTCGTATGCTTCATAATCCGATGATTTAGGAAGTAGCAATATTAACATTCAAATTCAAAAAAGAATAGATAGTAGAAAGAATAAAAAGCTAAACTAACTTGAATTGTAACTTGTAAGAGAGAATAGAAGCTAAACTGTCTTCTATACATTAGAAATTCCATAATATAGAAGAAAATAATGAAAATTAGTTAATAGCTAAAAAATGAAAACATTTAATCGATTGACAAACATGAAGCTTAGTTGATCGATAACCTCACTAGAAATAAATTTTAAGAAAAGACCATTTCGATAGTTGTCCCTTAAATTTTTAATATTTTGAAACAGCCTCCCAAATCATTGATGTGTGGACGCGTGTGTTTTCACACGTTTTGTGGGGACCACGAGAAAATCTCGTGAAGAGAATATGTGAGATAACAACTCAGGCCCACCCGATTCAATAGGTATAAATAATAGCAAAAACCCCTAGGGTTGTGTGCGAAGGAGGGATTTTGCCGATTGTTTACAGAGCCTTGGCGGCTGTGCGTGCAAGGAAGGATTTTTGTTTTGTTCCTTTTTTTTGCGGCTGCGGAAGAGTGCAAGGCTGGGGTTTTCTTTTGGCGGCTGTAGCAGACACAGAGAACAAAAGGAGCAGTGCTTTTGGTGGCTATTCCCGGAGGAAAAGCAAGTCTTTTGTAGATGTTCTTTGTTTTTAGCATTCCCTTTTGTGAGAATATTTGTGTGAGGGATCTGAGAGTTTGTGAGAGGGTTTTATTTGTGAGATTGTAAACCCCAATT